TAGTTTTTCTGCGCGTCGACGGGATGTCTGCGACGCGAAAGTTCAGCTCGCGTTATTTGGCTCGCACGTCGAAAAAATCAACGAGAGTGACCTGCTGCTCACGTCGAAATTTGGACATTACATAACTTTACAGTCTCCTATATAAATACGTATCCTGTTCGACGGCAAAAGAGGCTGCAGATTTAGTTTTTCTGCGCGTCGACGGGATGTCTGTCCTGACGTTTACTGGGACCGGCGCTGACTCTGCCGATCACGGCGTTCTGGACTCGACGGGATGTCTGTTCTGACGTTTCCTGGGACCGGCTTAGACTCTGCCGATCACGGGCGTTCTGGACTCAACGGGATGTCTGTCCTGACGTTGCCTGGTACCGCCGGACTCTACCGATCACGGGCGTTCTGGAGTCGACGGGATCTCTCTTCCGACGTTTCCTGTGACCGGCACTGAATCGCTCGTTCACGCTTATTTTGGAGACGACGGGATCTCTCTTCCAAAGTATGTTTATGCTGACGCAGCCTATCACCTAATCGGCGTCTATTCTAATTTAATTTCCTCCTCGTCTCCCTATTTCTTTCCAAATCTCCCTCTACATCAGGGAGTCGTATACATACATAATACGACGAATATTGGTACGGTACGGGACAGATACAGGAGCCCGCAAATATTGTGGACAGCTGTTATGTACAATCCTGTAGAGCCTTTGTAGTCACAGATACGGGACAGATACGGGATAGCGCCAGGCGTGACACAAACAAACAAACACACAAACAAACAAATACCAAATTAAAGCTGTGTGGACCCTGGCTAGCGCCAGACGTTACTGAAGTAACGTCTTCTGCATAGCTACGGGAATAAATACTACTACTACTGCTAGTACTACCGCATTACGGAATGCCGGCCATACGGCCTCCGCCACTTGCAGGTTTCCACGCCGTTTTGGGTGGGGAAAATCAGCAAAAACGCATTTTCTTTCTTTCCTTCTCCGTCTCTTTTGCAGACTCAATCATCTAGCGTTTGGTAGTTACAGAGAAGCACACTATATCTTCACAGCCACTGGTAAGTTGTTTTCCGTTTCCATTGACTGTTTACGCGCAGTGGTGGTGTGTGTATGGAATCTATCTAAAGCTACAGTTCAGGACGGAATAATTCGTGTTGTATGTTGTGCTGCATGTCATCAGCCAAGCTATATAAAAGTCAGTTGAAAACCCTGTTCATAAAATGTGTATTTGGATGATCGTATGAATGGCATTATGTGTGTGTGTCTCGTCAGGCGAAATAGCACGTCATAGTACATTCGAGATCAGCGGGAAGAAGATGACGACGTCCACTAATTTAGTATCTGTGCACACGAATCTGCTGTGTGTGTTACTCTGTGTGTCAGCTATGGCATCATCGCCTGTGGTTCCATGCCTAGCATGTACGTCTGAACCATCCTGCAAAGTTTGAATGACGTAGGTTGAGCGATCGCTCCGCGAAACATACTTTTTGAAATTCTCTTCATAGTATATCTTCCACCACTGAAATTTCGAATTTCTTCGAATTTTTTGCTGAGAGGGGTGGCTTGCAACCTCGATATGGCTTGTTCCAGGCTTGCTTTGGAGCCATCGCCTGTTGAAACAGTGGCGGGAAGCTGCCCTGCAACTGTTCCAACAGGAAATTAATCGATCCGAGAAAGCGCGAGTCCGCGAATCTCGGTTGAATATTGAGTATTTCAAGCCTTTTCACGACGAAGATGGAGTTCTTTTTGGAGATGGATGTCGCGGCAAAGGACATGGTCTCCGACTTCTGGCTTCTGGTGAAGCCAGGGATCATTTGTCCAGTCAGGTCGGCAGCCTAACCGTCGGTAAGCTTGTGTTCGGATCCCGTTCTGCTCGATGTGGTAGATCACAAACAATTTGATATCGCACAAATTGATCTCAGCATCGTGCGTACGGTATTTTGTATTCAGAAAATCCCAAAATGTCTCTGTGTTGCCGTCCTATGCCACGAGAAACTCCAATCAGGCTCCTATGTCCTCTGCCTTCATGATTGAATGTCCACTTCGTTTGAACAACGAACACAACAATCGAGGACGGCTTTGACAATGAAAAATACAGCTATACTGGAGCTGTTTGACAATGAAAAATACAGCTATACTGGAGCTGAAAAAAAAAAAAACGTGCTCAGGATGAGACTCGAGTACACGCATACTCTCCCAGCAGGTGAAACGCAAATTTTTGTGAAAAATGCGTGTCGCCGACTGACCAGTAATTTCGCCTGACGTGTCTGTCTGGCTGGCTGTCTGGCTGTCTGTCTCTCTCTCTCTCTCTCTCTCTCTCTCTCTCTCTCTCTCTCTCTCTCTCTCTCTCTCTCTCTCTCTCTCTCTCTCTCTCTCTCTCTCTCTCTCTCTCTCTCTCTCTCTCGCTCTCTCTCTCGCTCGCTCTCTCTCTCTCGCTCTCTCTCGCTCTCTCTCCCTCTCAACCCCATACTGTGTTCTTTCTCAGATGATGGCCGTGTGTTCCGTTTGGCCTCACTGGATGCTATATTCTACAGTGGCAACGCAGGACTGACATTTTCACTTATCAATGAGCTGCGTGTTGGCCAGGTACGTGTTGGATTGGGCAATTCAGGTGTTCAGCACGCAGTGATAAATGCAATGCCTTGCAGTACGCTGCTGTGGTGGGGTGAATGGAGTTTGGGTTGCCCAATGCTTCTCCCATTCTCCCTGTACAATGCTACTGTAGTCCAGTCTATCCGGCCAACCTGCACCTAGCGTAATCATTTGTATGTGTCACGTCGGAACTGTGCAGAGCATGTACTTGCAGGCCCATGTTTGCGTACATGCAATTCTCTCTCGGAGACCTCGTAGGTTGGTCTGAGACGAAAAGCAGCTGATTTGATTTACTATGACACACGGTGCTAATGTGCTTTGCAGCTGTGCGGCTGAGTTGGGTGGCCTGTGATCCGTTTTCGTCGCTTACGCCTACAGTGCAAAGTGTGCTCCGTGTCTTAACCCTGTATCACCCACTCACCCGTGTTCGATTGGAAATAAAGGGCCGAACGCTGCATTGCAGCCTTTTCGGACCAAAACCAGTTGACCCAGCATCCAAAAGACTACAACATATGGACCAATCGCGGTCATCCGTGTTTTTATAAGAATGAAATGGCGCTTTCAGTGACTTTTTGCATACAAATTCCCATCTAGCAGGACGGAGTCACCCAGTTTCGGTGGAAGTGCACGAGTTCGATTGGGAATAAAGGAGGAAGGGAGGGTCTCAGCTTCCTCAGACTACGACCATTCGACTCGGCACCTCGAAGACTACAACTGGTGGAAAATCGATTTTAGGGTATACTTCTCCTTTAAAACCATTCTCTCTTCATTGTGTGCTCACGTGCTGCAGAACGACGGAGATCCAGAAGTGATGGTCAACGACATTGCATTCATGCCCAGCAGTTTGCCCGGCAGTGCAGTAAGTACTTGAAAAAAAACACAGAAAAACAACAACAAAAATTAAGTGCAGCAACGACGACAGCAGCAGCAGCAGCAACAACAAGAACAAAAACAACAACAACGCTCACCCGTACATCTAGTTTGATCACTATTAGCGATGAAGCTTCGCATCATACTAATCTCACTATAACTACTATCTCTTATTGGCCACAGGCCATCATGAGAATAAAGATGTGTGCGTGCACGTGCGTGTGTGTGTGTGTTTGTGTGTGTGTGTGCGCACGTGTGTGCGTGTGTGTGCCTGTGTGTGTATTTAGCCACCACCGAATGTTGCTATTACCACCCGCCGCTCCGTGACCATTATACCAGCTACGGATTGTGAACAGTACTCTGGCAACTGCAGGTTAGTGCACTGCATTGCATGACAAAAACACACGCACACATACATACATACACGCACACACACGCACACACACACACACACACACACACACACACACACACACACACACACACACACACACACACACACACACACACACACACCTTGGTCCTTGGTAACGCTGCCATCAAATGGTCACGTGTCCCCTGTGCAGGGGTCGACAGCACTGAGTTCAGCATTGGACCCAGAAACGCCGCTCTACTTCCTGGACAGGAAATTAGCACAGCTATGCAGGTCGAAACCACGGGATGACTTGCAGCAGCGACCGCAGCCGAGACAATGCGCTCTGCAGCAGGGCAGGGCAACCCGCTGTTTCCGGACCGAGTCTGCCGATGCCACAGCCGAGCCCAACGCCACTTCAGCAGCCGAGTTGGAGAGACACTTATGCGAAGCTAGCCCGCCAGCACTCAAGAACCATCTCCCGCACGCATTACATAGTCGGCTGCCGGACTGCTCAGATATGGGCTTCCTCCTCTCGGCCAGGCACCTGTGGCGATTCGATCGACACACACACACACACACACACACACACACACACACACACACACACACACACACACACACACACACACACACACACACACACACACACACACACACACACACACACACACACACACACACACACACACACACACACACACACACACACACACACACACACACACACACACACACACACACACACACACACACACACACACACACACACACACACACACACACACACACACACACACACACACACACACACACACACACACACACACACACACACACACACACACACACACACACACACACACACACACACACACACACACACACACACACACACACACACACACACACACACACACACACACACACACACACACACACACACACACACACACACACACACACACACACACACACACACACACACACACACACACACACACACACACACACACACACACACACACACACACACACACACACACACACACACACACACACACACACACACACACACACACACACACGTGTCAATTAGTTTCATGCAGCTGCTTCGACAATGTAGGTCTCGTCAGTGAAATTGCATAGTGAGTATTAGTGACCGCAGGATAATTTAACGAGGTTGACTGAAGTCTGTGAAGAGTGGATGCAGCTTGTGTTTATTGTTCTTAGAGGGTTGCCAAGCTGAGATGTTGCTATGGTTACATAGTAACAGAATGGTGGGCATGTGTGTGTGTGTGTGTGTGTGTGTGTGTGTGTGTGTGCGCACAAAAGACCAAAAAAGGGATTCACTGGCCAGAAAATGTCACTCCAAATAGCTGTATGGTGTAGACCAGGCTGAATAGTGACGGTCAATTCTTCAGCCTTGCAAGCTGTTGAATGGTGTAATCCCAGCACAAGTTGCTATGGCTTCTGCCGTAGCATTGCTATCATCGCCTCCGGCGATGGGCGTCAAAAGGTCAAAAGGTCAAGGTCAAAGGTGTGTGCGCACGTGACGTGTGTGTGCGCGCGTGACGCGTGTGTGCATGTATGTGTACGTGGGTCGCATTTGTGTGTATGTCGCGTTTGTGTGTGGGTGGGTGTCTGTGTCTGTCTGTCTGTCTGTTTTGTGGGTGTACCTGCATGCATGTATGCATGTGTGTGTGTGTGTGTGTATGTGTGCGTGCGTGCGTGTGTATGTGTGTATGTATGTGTGTGTGTGTGTGTTTCTGTTATTGCGTTCACAGCACTTGCATAGCTCTGGAGGGCGGGACTGGCTTCACCGTAACTATTGATCCGAATTGTGTTTGGTGTCCGGATACGAGATCTTGTGGCGTACGCGACTTCACCTGCCCGTACGTACTGTTCCGTACTGTGCCCGTAATTAACATGCCCCGCACATTACATACGAGCCCCTCACGTACTACTGCAAGTCTACAAATGTTCGCCCTATTCAAATATCCGCCTCCCAGGGCTAAAACGCATTTTGGGCCGCATCAAATTGTGGCCTGCTCTGCTGCCGCCTGTATACACTGTCACACTGAACCTTGCAAAACAAAATTTCGGCCATAACAAATTTTCGGTCAAACATAACCAGCGTGAAAAAATGGCCGAAAATAAACATGCGCCGAATATTTGTTGACTTCAATGCAGTAGTCCCTTACGGACGACCTCTTACATACAAACCTCTTTTAGAGAACACTCTAGCGATGCTTCTGCCCCCCCCCCCTCCCCTGTGTCAATAGGAGTCCTGTCACATGAGGGTGGTTTGCGCGGTATGGCTGCCTGCGATTCTCTTTCTCTTTCTTCACATGAAAGACTCGGTGGTAGGGAAGCAGAGCGTGCTGATAAACCCGCGTGGTGTTAGTTATTGATTGTGTGTGTGTGTGTGTACGCATGTGTTTATGTGTGTGTGTGTGTGTGTGTGTGTGTGTCGCTATGTGTGTGTGTGTGTGTGTGTGTGTGTGTGTGTGTGTATGTGTGTGTGTGTTATGTATGTGTGTGTGTGTGTCACTATATGTACGAATGTTGTGCACACACAGTAGCCAACAGTACCCTACTCGTTTCCGTGCCAGCGGACAACGATGCGTTGGGCAACCAGAGCCGATGACCTTCTCCGGTAAGTGACATGGAGATCAAGTCTGCTCTACAGTATGAATTCCTTCTGGCAATGACGTACACAATATGCTCTATAAGAAGAAAAAAGGACCAAAGAGCTAAAAAATTATTTTTTTTAAAATCCACGGTTCGCGTGAACGCCACCACCCTCTTGGATCAAGGAGCTACAAGTTGCACTATAATTATCCACTAACACCACCAGTAACTTGCAGCTCTTTAGTTTCCGCCTTCCAACCCGGCAAATATTTAGATTTTGATAAAAACGATTCAAAGCCTCTCGATTATTTTGGAATACTTGAAGTATAAATATAAGAATAATAATAATAACTACTTTCACACAAAAAAAGCTCGGTGCAGCACTAATCACGGCAGGGGAACCCGACCCTCCACCATCGCCAACTCACGAAGTAGCTCTTTAGTCCTTTTTTCTTCTTATAAACAAATCCTTGGCTCTCCACTCAAGTCTATCAATATGCTCTCAGTACGTACATAACTATTTTGAAGATGGCTTTACTTTCCAGTTCTGTAATTTGCGTGTGTATTTTCCGGAGTATAGGCCGCACTTTGAACGCTCAAAATTCACCCCGAAAAGGGGGTTGCGGCTTATACTCCGATAATCAAATCAACGGTGATAATAGGGTGGACGTCCGCATTTCCTGGCAAAACAAATAGTTGTGCAGCTTATACTCCACTGCGGCTTATACCCCACTGCGGCTTATACTCCACTGCGGCTTATACTCCACTGCGGCTTAACCTGTAAAAGCCATATATATAACGAAGTGCTAACTCTAACGAGTTAACGAGGAGAAATCTGTCGTTAAAATAGAAATCGTTTTTCAGAAATCGATGCATATACTGTCCTATTGAGCGTTGAGAATGGGTGAGAATCGTTAAGCGGGATTCACAGAAGCTTTTTTGTGATGCGACACGCGATGCGACAGGCGCGAAACCGGGAAAACCCCAAATCGCAGCCATGTCGCGGCCCACGCAACTGCCGCAACTGGGCCATCGCAGAAGTTGAGCTTGGCTCAACTTTTGCGATGCGATGCGATGCGACAAGCGATTTGGTGTACGATTTTGACCTTTTCTACAGCAAAGTTGTACAAAGGTGCAAGAGTTGCCTATAAATTTTTACAAGTTGTGTCAAACCGCGCGAATATCATGGTGACGTACCCAAATCAGCAAAACTTTGTCGCATCGCTGACTTCTTCTGTGAATGGTATTTCGCGAGTTCGCATCGCACGCATCCATCGCAGATCGCGTCGCATCGCGTGTCGCATCGCAAAAAAGCTTCTGTGAATCCCGCTTTTACCCTTGATACACGTAAACCAGTCAATTTCGGGAAATCGTTAGATATGCGCCTCGTTAGAATAATGGCTTTTACAGTACTCCGGAAAATGCGGTATGTCTTTGTAGTCACCGTATTGGCGTTGTGACGTTTGCGATGTTCCGGTGGTTGTGGCGTTTGGTTATGGCGGCGCTGGTGGAGTTGGTTCCGGGCGTCTCAAACGTTTGGAAAGAGATAGAGTGTGAAAACACTGCCCGACGCAGAACGAGAGTGTATGCATGCACGCACGTGTGCGTTTTGTGTGTGTGCGTGTGTGTGTGTGTGTGTGCGCGTGCGTGCGTGTGCGTGCGTGTGTGTGTGTGTGTGTGCGCGCATGTGTGCATGTGTGCATGTGTGTGTATGCCAGCATGCGTGCGTGTGTTTGTGTGCATGAAGGCAGAGGGGGTGGGCGGGGACTACGGCGAAAGGGCAAGGAAACTAACGTTAGGGCTGCTTAGGTTGTTGGAGACACCGTTCAATCTCTTCTTCCTTCTCATTGTTATTGTCATTGTCGTTGTATTTTGTTGTTTTGTTTTATATCCCAGGGTCTATTATCAAGTCCCCTGTAAACACAACGGGAATTTTTAATACCACGATATCCTTCTCATGCCAAGCAAATGCAAACGCGCCCATCACGTTCTCCTGGATGAGACTGGTTGGCTTGGAGATGGTTGCCGTGCCAGCGTCTCGCAGCACGGTGACGAGCGTAGCGCTGGGGGACGAGCTGACGGAGACCAGCACGCTGACGTTGTCCGGTGTGACAGCAGCCGATGGTGGACAGTACGTGTGTTTGGCCAGGAACACTGGATCCTTGCCAGTCCAATCTGAACCAGCTACATTGTTCAGTAAGTCAGTCCGTGTAGGATATAGGAGTTTGTGGTGCACAGGCCGCGGTGGTAAGTTATGCCTACTGTATGTAACTGTATGCTACTGAGCGGAAAAAAGGTGTCTGCCCTGTTGGAGCTCGGGCTTCCTGCCGACTGACTTGACACTTGACTGGCCCTTGGCGGCCGTCTGAGGCACACGAGAAGCACGTCAAACTCTGCACAAACACACTGAGCCGAGCATTAACGTGAAGTGTGATGTTACGTTCTCTTGTGGTGTGGTGTTGTTTCTGTTTGCCTACTGTCCTCTGCTTTAGTCCGTCCATACATTGAGTCCGGTCCCAGTAACACATTGGTATTCCTGTCTCAGGCATTAACAATGCGTTGTGGTGGTGATGGATATCCGACACCGTCGTTCCAGTGGTTCCACGCCGGCACCAACATAGCCATGTATGCCAGTCTGTATCCGAACATTCACTTTGTGGGAGCGTCCGGTCGTGACATCATCATCCAGCCCACTACCCTGCAGGTGGCTGGTTTGTACGTGTGCCGGGTGGTGAGCATACATGGCATGGCGCAGACTGAAGCGGCCCAGCTTACCGTGATCGGTGAGTAGGCTTATGAACACACCAGGCCACACTCGTCCTTATGAACACACCAGACCACACTCGTCCTTATGAACGCACCAGGCCACACTCGTCCCCGCTTATAAAGACACCGCACTCATCCTTGCTTATAAACACACCATGCCACTCGTCCTTGCTTTCAAACACACTCCACACTCATCCTTGCTTATAAACACTCCATGCCACTCGTCCTTGCTTTTAAACACACCACACTCGTCCTCCCTTGGAGCATTCCCTTAGAGCCATGTGGGAGAACTAGAATTATAATGACACCGGGGTCACACGGCCACTTGGCTCGAAATCAGCGACGAAATGTTCCCCTTGCCAATGAACTCGGGATTGGACATGGTCTTTTTTCATCACTTTTTGCAACTTACATGTGCATTGTCAAGGGTTTAACTCGGATGGTGAGCCGATTAAATTATGGTGAAAAAAGGAGGACAAAATGTTACAGTTATGACTAACTGTTAGTTTTGTGCCATTTTGTCGCACTCGCTGACTGTATAAGATCTGGTTACGTTGGTAGACAGTCATAACTCGTAACATTTTGTCTTTCTCTTTTTTTCATCATAATGTCCAGGGTGTTGGGGTCGGTACAGTGGGTGATGCTAGAGTCATACCGATTCCGTAAACTCCCTTCTAGCATTGTCCGCCCTGATGCGAAGTCTTTCCGACGACCCTGCTTGTGATGTTATGTCTGAATGTGTGTGTGTGTGTGTGTGTGTGTGTGTGTGTGTGTGTGTGTGTGTGTGTGTGTGTGTGACTGTGTCTGTCTGTCTGTCTGTCTGTGTGTCTGTTTGTCTGTGTGTCTGTCTGTGTGTCTGTCTGTCTGTCTGTCTGTCTGTCCGTCTGTCCGTCTGTCCGTCTGTCCGTCCGTCCGTCTGTCTGTGTGTTTGTGTACAGATGCTGTTCCAGCAAACAGTTCCGTTCACACTCCTCTGGTTGGCAGCGCTCTAGTCCTGTCCTGCCCAGACAACAATGGCCCCTTTGAATGGTATGTAGTGAGAGTGTTCAGTGCTGTCCAACAATACAGAAATGTTGAAGACAGGCAGGGTTTTAATGGCCTCCATTAAAAAGAAAAGAAAAAAAGAAAATTATCGTGCCCATTCCCGAAGGGAACTCACGATGGCCGCTAACACCCGGTAAACCCTAGCGACATTAGGTAGCAACTAATTTGTTTACCCAATTGAAACGAAATTCCGGTATTCTTTGTGATGTGTTTTGGTATGTACATGGCAGACTTTTTTTTTCATTGGAACTTTCCGCATGTGAGCCTTCCAAGTTGGAAGGTTGTTGGTTTGCGCTTCGTAGATGTGTTGGAGCTAGGTGTCAGGTCGTCGAATGTCTCAATATCCTTGTCAGTTTTGTGCCTTGTCGCACTATCTGACTGTTTCATATATTAATATCTCGTTGCCTTGGTGGACTGTTAGTCATAACTAGTAACTTGTAGGTCCTTTTCTCTTTCCATATTGCTATTGGCTCTACATCCGAGTTTTTATTCACACTTTTGTTCTTGTACTATAGTAGAGATGTGCACGGACTCGTTTCTTTCATACGGAACGAATCGTTGAGCTGGGTGTGGGTTAGAGTCTCGTGAAGGTTCCGTAGATTGAATTCTTTGTTTAATTCCTAAGTAGCTCCGAGATCGCGCCGCCCCAAATAAGGATACACCACTTCAAAAGTGGAAATAGAATCGATGTTGTCTCGTGTACGAGTTCGCAACGAATCACAGAACCTTCCTGTTTGCACATATGTGTGCGCATGCACGGGCACCCATGCTTGCGTGCACGCACACGTTTATACATTCTCCACCTCTCTCTTCTCTCTTACTCTCTCTCTCTCTCTCACGCTCTCTCTCACGCTCTCTCTCTCTCTCCCTCCGTCCCTCCCTCTCTATCTCTCTATGTATCTATCCATCCATTCATCCATCCATCCATCTATCTATCTATCTATCTATCTACTGTACAAGCAGAAATATTCGTCTGGAATTTAATTTCGTCTTTTTCGTCCAAGGAGCTTTTGGACTAAATAAAATGCAGGACGAATGTAGATTTGTCTAGCTTTTCAATACACTCTTATGGTCCATGGACTAAATTTTCAACCGGACGAACTCCTTTTCTTCGGAGTAGGACGAAATTTTCTGCCTGTACAGTATCTAACGATCTATCTATCTATCCATCTACTCAATCTGCGGACAGCATGCTGTTTCGTTCTTTTTGAACTCATCAGCGCAGCACAGAGAAAATGAGGCCGAACCTGATAGCAATGGAAATAAAAATTTCCAATCAGGCCCGAACGTACCTTGCCAGAGTGCTCAAACTGACAAGTCAGTGAGCTCTGCATAACGCAAACAGCAAAGGCACTACCCCACGCAAGAGTGCTCAACTGCTACAAGAGCATCTATGTATCTATCTATCTATCTAACGATCTATCTATCCATCAATCTATCTATCTATCTATCTAACGATCTATCTATCTATCCATCTATCTATCTATCTCACTCTCCTTGCAGGCGTGTAAACGGGACACTAATTGCAGGTGCTACAACCAGTGAACTGACGCTCAGTAACATCCAACCTGCTTCCAGCGGCCGTTACCTCTGCCAGCAAGCTTTCCAATTCTTCGTCTTCGTCTCGTCACCGGCTCGGATTGCCCGGGCGCCTAGCAACGCCTCGGTTACTCAGGGAACACCTGTCGAGCTTCGCTGCAATACACAGGCCAATATTTACCCGCCAGTGACCATCAACTGGCTGTACCAGGCAATTAACAGCCTTGGAGAGCCAACCGGAGAGCGTACGTCCCTCTCTCTGGCCGTTCTTTCCGATAATCTCATCTACGCTGGCGGTCAGGTCCTGCGTTTCAGCTCGATTCAGATAAGTGATTCGGGTTTGTTCACTTGCTACGCCAGCAACACACTCGGCAATGTCACAGCAACGGCAATGGTCACTGTCAACGTTCGTAAGTACATGTTTTGTGCGTTTTCTCGTGCGTTGTGCGTGTCCACTATGGCTGCCGTGTCTGTTTCCCGTTATCGAGGGTATCTCTTGGCTAAGTGAGAAATTTCACATTAAAAATATTTACGATCCGCTCTGCATGGTTGTGAAGGTAGTGAAGTGAGTCTCTCGATAAATCTACTCGATGTAGAATGTGGTCTGTGTGGCTCAGGTAGATACTGTAATCAGCCGTCCTTTAGCTTCAGGACCGCTCTCTTCTGATCATGGGATTACATCTCCGACAGGGAGACCACCTGTCCCTGTGCATCACCTGTTTCGGAGTTTTTTTCTCTCTACAAAATCCACGTACAGTAAGACCTGTAAGTAATGACCACCCCTTTGGGCCGGAGAAAGCGGTCTTTAGTGGCAGGTGGTCCTTACTTACAGGTTTACACCGCACAACCATATGTGAATGTGAGACCGTCCGTGCCTGGCAAAGTGGTCTGTAGTACCAGGCTGGTCGCTAGTCACGGTGGTCTTTACTTACAGGTTTTACTGTGTCTCCAGACACTAAAGTGAATAATGGAGTGTGGTGGTGGGGCCCATTTTAAGCTCAGCCGACTAGATGTCTCGGCTTCATAGCTTGATGGACACAGTACTGTCTGTTCCGGAATACCGTCTGTTCCTGAGCACCATATGTCCTGGAAGACTGCTATAGCTTGGTCCAGCAAGGTGTTTGCATCTCCCATGTTACACTACGAGTGCCGAGCGTACCTGCCAATGAATAAGTAAAACCTTTTTTTTTTTTGTCCTCCCTTGGCTGCTGCTGTTGTTGTTGTTCCTGCAGCTCTTGGCACACCTAACTGTCCAGTGTCGGCTCAGTTTCAGACTGGAGTTGCAGCTTCGCCGATTGTCAGCACGTGTAGTGTTACGGGACCGAGCGGAACGGTAGTGCAGATCCGACAAGGCTCCAGTCTCCTGCAGAGTGGAGGGCGTATTGATATAGGCACAGAGCGCAATGTCACTGCCGATCTGCACACTGCCACGCTATCCATCGCAGAACCAGTGGCTGGTGATCATGGTGAGGAATATTGTGGTAGCGACGTGTGTAGGTTTGCGCTGCTGCTGCTGCTGCTGCTGTTGCTGTGTGGTGTGACCTGTGTTGGCCGATATGCTTATTCGTTCATGATCAGTTCTATCTCTCTGTGAAATGGCGCTGTCACTCTCATGTACTGTAAAACATGTAACTTTCGGTGTAACTTTAATTTCGGTGATTTCGGTAGAGAAACCAGGCACCTAAATTTAAATTACACCTAAAAGGCACTAGAGCATGCACTGTATGTGAAGGGAACGCTGGTCACCTAATTCTAAATTACACCTGAAACCTGGCAGGTCCCTGCCACCGAAATTTTAATGCACCTAAACTTACATGTTTTACAGTATGTAAATTGTTAGACTCGGTTGGAGAGGCAAGGATTTATTTATCAGAAGAACAGAGTGTAGTTTGTCAACCTTATCAGGGGCGTCGGAAGGTAATTTAGTGTGGTACGGTCAGCCTTCGAAAGTACAATTTACTGGTGAGAGAGGCGTGGCTGAGGAGACCAGTTTGGAAATTTAGAGCCCAAATCAGTGCATTTTATTGATCCATGGGGTACTTGGGGCAAATAGTGGTACGGTCAATACCGTAGTGACCGTTCCGTATGCAACGCCCCTGCTTATGGTCACCAACTAACTTTTCTCTGTCTGCTTGTCTGTCTGTTTCCCTCCCTCTCTCTCTCTCTCTCTCTCTCTCTCTCTCTCTCTCTCTCTCTCTCTCTCTCTCTCTCTCTCTCTCTCTCACTCTCTCTCTTCTCTCTCTCTCTCTCTCTCTCTCTCTCTCTCTCTCTCTCTCTCTCTCTCTCTCTCTCTCTCTCTCGCTCTCGCTCTCGCTCTCGCTCTCGCTCTCGCTCTCGCTCTCTCTCTCTCTCTCTCTCTCTCTCTCTCTCTCTCTCTCTCTCTCTTCTGTATTTTCTCTTTCTTCATCTGTCACTCTGCTGACACTCTTGTTGCTCAGCATTATACGCGTGTGAGGCCAGTTTCAATGGTGCGTCAACGCGATGTGAGTTCTTCCTTTCCACGACTGACACTGGTGGAAATGTTGGGTCATCCACGTCATCAAACACATCAGGTATGGCTTCTCTGTCTCTCTCACTCTCACTCTCTCTCTGTTTTTGTCCATCTGTCCTCCTGTCTCCTTGTCTCTCTGTCTTTGCGTCGTTCTGCTTTTCCATCCATTGAGGTACTCACAATCACTCTGTCTCCTACTTCAGCCACACTCTCTTTCACAGTTGCGGTATTTTGTCACACCTCTCGGTTCATCGTGCACAGCCATGCTGGGCCTTTTTCACTCGTGGCTGAAGTTCACCATATGCTGCCATTGACCATAGTGGTCTGTCCTTCTTTTTACCGCAATACCACTCCCTGCTATGACTATTGCTCTGAGTGGAGCTGGTCACTTCTGGTCTGAAGTAGCAGTGCAGCGGTGTCTTCTTGGAGGTCAGGCGTGCTGCGAAAAAAGAAACTCTGCCGAAGTTTTGTTTTATTTTCATGCGCCACCGTCAATCATTTCCCACTGCAACTGCCACTGTGTCTGGGTAGTCGCTGGCTGCCATGTTCCACCCCCACCACCACCACTACCACCACCACCACTACCGCCGCCGTCACTGTCACACATCACGTCACCACCATGCCAGGAGCCCTGCCATGCCATGAATAGCTGTGTCACACCCGTGCCAGGAGCACTCCTTCTGTCTTACTCCCACCGCCATCTCTTGCCTACACCCTGCGCCGGTAAGTGTGTTTGTTTATGGCATACTGGTGGTCACTGTTTATCAAGACATGTTGGTCACTGTTTGATCATGCCATGCAGTAAGTGTGTTTGATCATGCCATGCAGTAAGTGTGTTTGATCATGGGTACACTTTGGGTGGGATTTCCCCTAGCATCATGGGTACACTTTGGGTGGGATTTCCCCTAGCATAACGGTACTAACCAGCTACATCCACTGGAGACCAATCGCACTTTAGTATGAGCACGGGTCTAACGCTCATTCGTTATCTGGGTTCAAGGATCTGTCAGAACTCTGCAAAAAGCTCCGGCCATACGAGGGCACGGATATTTATTTGTCGGCCTTTCCGAGTAGGATTGTCTTGCACTCGTTACACTGGCCGGTCCGCTCAGTGTGAGGTGTAAAGTTTGGAAAGTGCCATACTAAATGGATATGCAGGACCGCCGGAAGCAGTTATCAATTGGTCCGGTCGTACCGTAGTCTTTCATACAGTTTGTTTGTGATAAGGCAGGGAAGTTAGGGAAATTAGGGAAATTAGGGAAATTAGGGAAATTATCCTTCCTCAGTAGTAAACACATGTTGGTGGCCACAAAGTTGGTCCGGTGATAACCTGACCAACCGGGCCGGTTCCGGCGGGCCTGTTATGTTCCGTTAATGTAGTACTAATCCTGCTTTCCACTCCTGTTTTTGCTTCTATCCTTTCTCTAATCGTCCTGACCCTCACCCACTCTCCTGTTTCTGCATCTACCCCCTCTCATCGTCCTTACCCTCTCTCATCGTCCTTACCGGCCTCACGTGATCGCCTGCACCTCCCTGTACACTGCTTGTGGTGGCACCCTCCTTGTAAATCTCTTGTCATCCACTCCTTCTCACCTCCCCACTCCCTACTGAATCGGTGTGCCTTCCCTGTGTGTTGTCCCTGCCGGTTTCTGACCTTGCTCCTTGCCCTGCCCGTATAACCCTCTCCTCACCCCTGGTCCCCTGATAACTTTCCTCGTCCCTTGTACGCACCCCCCCCCCCTCCCCTATAATTCTTCCCTTGTCCCTGATGCCCTCCCCTGCAATCCTCTTTTCCGGGTCTTGGTCCTTTCATCACCCCTGATCACTTGCTCCCTTGCTCCCCCCCCCCCCTCCCTTCCCTCTCTTGTTCCTACCTCTCACCCCTGCCCCTTTGCCCCCCCCCCCCACCCCCTGGACATGTTGCCCCTTCATGTTTCTATCCACCTTGTACCCCTTTGCCATGGCGGCTGCACCCGATACTGGCGTACGTATGCTGACAGTACTACCTACATCTGACATGGACTCCCGTGTAACCCGGGCAGATAGCAGCCCAAAGCAGCAAGCATTGATCTACGGCGGAGCGTCAGGCATAGCGACAGGCGGTTTTGTCTTCGGTCTGCTCGTCGCGTTTCTGGCCTACAGATTGAAAAAACAAACTGGCACTGGGAAAGAGGTAGGAGGTCAAAATGTTGCGGCTGTAGATACTGCCACCCCGGGAGTACCCACTCCATTGTTGATATAAGCTGACTAATTTAGATAGCAGCACACGTCTGTTGTATCGTGTTGCACTGTGCGTAGTTATAGACCTTAGTAGATCTGCTGTGACCTGCCACTGCACTGGTACTCCATAGTCTCTTCCTATCATGATTTTTGAACAGCTTTGCGTAATGGGAATCTATGTAGTGAATACTCAAAGCCGCAGTTACTCTCAATCTATGGTAGTAAGTCTTGATCTCTCTGATGCCAGTAATGGCAACCCCACTTGAATCTCTTAGCCTGTCACCAGGAAACCCTAGATATAGGGTTTGACATAACGCTACACATAAAGACCCTATAATAGGGTTAGGACCCCTAAAGAAAGGGTTTGATCAGTCCTCACAACTGGGCACACAATACACACAGTTTCATTTGTTTTTTTGATATTTTCACTGCATTGCCATTGATGTTAGCAGGAGCGCTCCTACGAAGTGCGCGAGTGTCGCCGCATTTGCTGCTTCCGACCCATGTGTGGATCAGCTGGTGCAGAAACGGCAATGGCGGGAGTGGCAGCTGCGACAGCCGCTGTTGATGCTTCGCCTTCTTCTTCAGGAGCATCCGGCGCTGCTGGAACATCAACATCATCATTCTGAGTCGACACCAGGTCGCCAGGAACATTCTCATCGCCCGAGTTCGTCTCCACTAACTCAAGTTGCTCTTCCTCCATCGTGAAAAATCAAACCCTAGATATAGGGCCTAGAATTTTTTACGACAGCGCTGCACTAAAACTAACCGTACTCGAAGAAAATAGCAACAAAATTGTCACGGTCTTCAGCAAGAGAACCCTTCGTACATTCTACGTATGTGGGCACAGGCGTCTAGTTGCCATAGCAGCCAAGTGGGCTCTCAAGAGAGCACAAGATAGAACGCGCGGCTGAAAACCCTATAAACAGGGTTTGACAGGCTAAGTAGAACACCCTGAAAGCATGCTGTGCCACTCCACTACAATGACGTGATGTCCACCAACTATTCTGATGTAATACCCAGCTAGAATGATGTAATACCCGATTAGAATGATGTAATACCAGATTAGAATGATGTAATACCCGATTAGAATGATGTAATACCCAGCTAGAATGATGTAATACCCGATTAGAATGATGTAATAGTCAATTAGAATAATGTAACACCCAGCTAGAATGATGTAATACCTGATTAGAATGATGTAACACCCAGCTAGAATGATGCAATACCCAGCTAGAATGATGCAATACCCAGCTAGAATGATGTAATACCCTATTAGAATGATGTAATACCCTATTATAATGATGTAATACCCTTTTAGAATGATGTAATACCCTTTTAGAATGATGTAATACCCAACGTAGAATGATGTAATACCCAGGTAACATGTACTATTCAACCAGCATGATGTAATACTCAACTAGCATTTGTGATAATCATAGCGTATTTATCTTATTCTCTTTTCCGTCCACTATCATGATGTAATGATATTCAATTAGCACTACAGTCAGACCCCGCTTATCCGGTCCTCTTTTATCTGGATAGAAAATCGTTGGTTACCGATTTACAGCATATGTCATGCATGCATACAGTATGTGTGTTCGATTATCTGGTTCCCTCGCCTATTCGGATATTCTTGTGGAAAAACGAATGTGTGCGGTTAAGCGAGGTCTGACTATAATTGTGATAATATTCAATTAGCACAATGCCGTGCTCAACTGAAAGGAAAGTAATTTTTGGTGGTTCGCGTGGGACTCAGTCAGACTTTGTTTTCCGCTGCACCCTTGGGAGTGCCAGCACCCTTGGGAGTGCCAGCACCATTGGGAGTGCCAGCACCCTTGGGAGTGCCAGCACCCTTGGGAGTGCCAGCACCCTTGGGAATGCCAGCACCCTTGGGAATGCCAGCACCCTTGGGAGTGCCAGCACCATTGGGAATGCCAGCACCCTTGGGAGTGCCAGCACCATTGGGAGTGCCAGCACCCTTGGGAGTGCCAGCACCGTCAACTGGATCAAGCAGCAAATGGAGGTGAGTCGACCAGACCAACCATAATCCTGGTCAAAGACAATGTGGTCGAAACGTGACGTATTTCCCATCTCCCATCGTGTAGTACCCCACTAACAATACATGATGTAATGCCCAGCTAACATGATGTAATGCCCAGCTAGTATGACATAATAGTAACCAGTCAGTATGATCTAATGCCAGCTAACGTGATGTAATGCCCAGCTAGCATGATGTAATGCTCAGCTAGCATAATATCATGCCAAGCTAGGATGATGTAATAGCTGGCTAGCATGTTGTAATACCCACTGCTCTAATTGGAGGGGGGCGGGGTACCCAAAAAAGGAATATGACACAGCACACGATTCCTTGTCTCAGGAGTTACCTGGCAAGTCAATATTTGTAATTGTGAAGCAGTTTCACGCACTGCAGTGCCTTGGGGTCTTCACCCTCGGGGGAGGACATCCTCATCGTCCTCACCTCCGAGTTAGACCTATTCTGTTGCCTTTGCTCACTGTGACCGGCCTACTCACATTGACAGAGACTGGAACATACTGTTCCTTTGCCGACGTGTCGTCACACAATGAGAGGGAAGCCGTTTGGCGTTTTAAAAATCTGCGCAGGCCCCTGAGACAAGGTATGCTGCATCATGTTATCTTCCTGGCTTGAGTGCGCCTGGCTGCCATCATGAATAATCCCGCTATTGAATGATGTAATACTCACTGCAGAATGATGTAATACTCACTGCAGAATGATGTAATACTCACTGCAGAATGATGTAATACTCACTGCAGAATGATGTCATAACCCACTAATGAATGATGTAATACTCACTGCAGAATGATGTCATAACCCACTAATGAATGATGTGTTAACCCTTTACTGTCCGTACATACAAGCATCGATCCAATGGGATCGATGGGGTAGGCATTTTGAAATTATCGTAACTTGCTCAAATCTAGGTCTTTTGGAGAGATCGAAATATGTAGGTCGAAGAGAAAAGTCTCAGCTGTCGCCTCGAACAATTCCCGAAGCGATACGAACAGCGGTTGCTGAGTTATCGCACTCGTAATTCTGGTGCCGGGAAAAGTGCGTTCAGAGCGCGACGCGCATGTCGACGGCTGGGATTTTCCCTGTTTACGTCACCTGTTGGCAAGGCTACACCGATTCAAATTCAAAAGTAGGTTCCCGGGAGTCTCTACGAAAATATTTGAGCTCGATACGAGCAACAGGGGTGACATGGTGGATTGAGATCGATCTCGAGCGTGAGCTCAGCGCTTTTGCGCGTTCCCTGGCTTGCAGCGCTGGACCAGTGCATCCTGTGGCGCCGCGTGTGGGCTCATTGCGTTCGTCTCGTCAAGACCTTTCCAGGATGCCCAAGATCGTGGAAATCGTCAAATTCAAACCAAAGTTACGTCTCATTTTAGTTTCAGATTTTGTGGTTGCGTGGGCTTGTATACATTTTAATCGGACAGTAAAGGGTTAAGTTACTTGATAACTCATTGCTGAACGATGTTTTAACACACTGCTGGATGAGGTCATAACCCACTGCTGAATGATTTTTATAAAACCACTGCAGAACGACATCAAAACCCACTGCTGAATGATGTCATAACCCACTGCTGAATGATGTCATAACCCACTGCTGAATGATGTGAAAAGCTAATTGATAACTAATTGCTGAATGAGGTCATAACCCACAGCTGGATGTGGTCATAACCCACTGCTGAACGACATCAAAACCAGTGATGCAACAAATGATGTCATAATCCCCCCTGTTGCATGATGTCATACTTTTCTAAGCAATCATGCAAACAAATCTAGGTACACACTTCCTTGCTCAATCATGTGTGCGTGTGTGCTTGCGAGCGTGCGTGAGTATGTGCATGCATGAGTGTGTGTGTGTGTCCGTGTGTGTATGTGTGTATGTGTACGTGTTCTTACGCTGCGCAGTGCAAGATGGTGTCGGAACTGCCGCATTCGTCGATGAGCATGGCCAGTCCGCGCCTGACCATAATAGGCCATGACTGCTGTGACCAGTCGTCATCGTCACTGCACGGGTGCGATGATCTCAGTGTGGTCATTCGGCAGCATGGCTCCAGGGATGAACTCTCTGCCTGTTCACAGAATAGCCTGCCTGCGCTGTACCGGCTAGCCGGTAGATACAGTGTACCTAAACGGACCGCCGCCGCTGCTGCGAGTAACCAGAGTACTGGTGACAGCGAAAACCCTCCGCCTGGTTCGCCGCGTGCGGCGCATAGCTTGCAGAGCTTGCCGTGTCATGACAACGCCGTCGCCAAGTGTCTGTCCACACACAGCATCCTGTCCATGTTGAGCAGCAGCAGCAGCAGTGCTGGCGGTGGGCACACAAACTCAGCATCGAACCCCCGCATGGATCGGTGCCTAGACTCTGCTAGTGTGCCGAAAACACCGCCAACAGCAGCTGGCCACGGCCTGGAGGATGATCGTGCCTGTTTAGGCAACGAAGTATCCGTGCCGTTGTCCTCTGTGATGTACAGCACTACGAGTGATCATGCCCGTCTAGACAGCATAGTCTCCGTGCCGTCGTTGTCCCCCATGGTGTACAGCGCCACGAATGACGAAACGTTGTACGACTCCGAATACTCCACTATTGATATTAAAGATGCGCGCTGTCACCGCGACCGTAGTAACCTTTTTAGCGATGTACTATACGACGAGGTGCCAGGGGGCAACTCTATGCCTAAGGTGATCGACAGCAATGCCGATGATTAGATGTGGGTGTGTGGGCGTGTGGACGTGTGGACGTGTACGAAAGGGTGTATGGGTGTATGGATGTGTGGGTGTATGGATGTGTGGGTGTATCGGTGCATGGGGAAGAGACGAGCTTGTCTACACGGGACGCTCGTAGCTCATGCTTTTTACGCACTCCGGAACCCAACTGCGTTTTCGTCTAACAGCGACTACATGTACGTGGGTGTGTATGTGTGTACCGGTGTATCGGTGTATGCATGTATGCGTGTACCGGTGTATCGGTGTGTGCGTGTATGGGTACTTGGGAAAGAGGCGCAGATGTCGACGCGCGACGCTCGTTTCACATGCTGTTTTCCACTCCGAATGCCAGCTGCACTGCAGTCTGATCATGCCTCTGCGTACATGTACTATTCAGTGTTAGTATTTCTCAATATTTTTAAAAAATACTTTTCTATGCTATCACTTCTACTCACTGTTGCTGTCAAGAGAGACTTTACTTTTTAATCCTTGACTCTCCATCCGAGTATGAACTCACTGCTGTGTTAAGAAAAATTAGCGCTGGTGCTTTGTAAACCGGTCAATAGAACTGCGTACTTGTAAGTTAAAACGAGGTGTCAATGCTGAACGCTGATCGCCTCACTGGAATTGTACACGTTATATTCACGGGTGTCCGGAAGCCATCGCATGCTCCACGGTGCACATTGCAAAATATTTTGGCGCCATATATTTTAAACTATTTTAGACTTCTCTGAACCGCCCAAGGGCATGTTTTTAACTTCATCTTTTTTTTTAACTTGTACCGCACACAGCCCCCCCCCCCCCCCCCACCACCTTTTTTTAACCTCCAAACCCCAATCCCACTGTCTGTGGGCACTGCATTACGAGTGCCCAGTGCATGTGTGGGATGATGTTGAAACGCTTCATTCAGACGTTACGGTGTTTACGGCCTTACGGTAAAAATTCTGCCATTGTTGGAGACCAGTCGTGGCCACACTATATGTCTGTGTGTTTTCTCCCACGGCTAAAGTCACGTCGTGACCTGACGTTGAGGTCATGTGACCTACTATCAAGGTCATGTTGATAAGGGTTGAGGTTGCATGATACAGTGTGAATGTCACGTGATCGGCGCGAAGTAGAATTAGTTTCGAGCACTTTTTTTCCTTGGGAAATGCCAATTCTCTGGCTACCTTGTTAAAAGCAGGCGTTGTGCCATGTATTCAAGAGTTTACCTCCAATTCTTTGCAGCGTTTCTCTATATTTCGACAGGCTTTTTCCCCCGAGTTTGTGTTTTTTCTCGACTTTGTATCATGTGCATGGGATGCAGCAAATGCGTGCCTGTATCCTTGGTGATACCACAAAATCCTTTTCTTGCTTCCTTTTTTCCACGTTTAAAAATGTCCACCTCATTGCCAAGGAAGACACCTGGGAAGGGCGAAATGTATTTATTTATTCACAATCACGTGGCACTAGCCAATGAAAAGGTGATGTGGGCGATAGCCGGCCATGGCGGTAATAGAGGGGAGGAAGAAGAAAAGATGAAAGGGGAACGGAAATCACTGTCATGTTCTTTCAATGGCGGAATAATTCCTGCGGTTTTCCGCAGAAACGACCAGGTTGACGCCGGAAATTTGAAAATTGACTATCCTGGGGGAGTCACTGATTATGCTGGCATGCTGGGATGTGCTGTGGGATTATTCCCGGCTTTGTTCCAGCACTATCCTGCGCAGAACCGACCAAGCCTAGCTAGATGTGTTATGGATTTATACGGTGTGCTCACTGAAGCTGTGTGCGTGTGTTTGCTTTTGGGTGGCTAGAGGAGGACTGTGAATATGGCCTACTTGCGCTGCAGTGCTTGAAATGAATGATGCATTTCTCCCTGTTCCATTTTGTACATGTTGTGCCCGATTGGCCACGGTATGGTGCCAGCATCGGCCACAATGGGCGCTTTCGATTACACGTTTACACAATTCTGGAACTGGTTTTTAAATTCTGGAATGACCAGAATGAGCGTATTCCGGCCTTGCAAACGAACGACTGGAATTCACAACGATTTTATTCATGTCATATCACAAACGAAATTGATGAATCCCAAAAAGAGATCACGTACACCCTCGCAATCGATCGCACGCACGTGGACCTAGCATCGCGCACACGCCGGCCAGGGAGGCTCTTCGCGCGCTTGAGTCATGACCAAACCGGTAACACACCCACAGTGCAATTCTGGCGCCAGAATTAGAGAAATTCCGCCTTCTCTTTAGAATTGATGGATTCGACGGAATTGGATAAAATTAATTCTAACGACGGAATTTGTCACTTTTTGTGTAATCGAACTGTGCATCAACCTGTCCCTCCAGGAACTTGCGATTCCGCGCCCGCGTTGTTTTCCACAATTTGAACAAAAGTCCGTGATATCCGCGATATTTGAAAAATCATCCGCGTTATTGTTGAAAACTGTCCTTGATACTTGAAAAGCACCGCGATATTTCGAAAAGCAACCGTGATATTCGAGTCTTTCTTCGATGTTGTTTAGTTCTTGAAGCTCGTCAGTAGTTTACTTGTGAGATCGACACCAGAATGGAGAAATTTCTAGGCAAATCAGCGGCTGACAAGTCACAAAATAAGGCTCGCGTCGAGTGTTGTCCGAGGATGGAGGAAAGCTGTCTTGCAAGCTCCTGTCAGGCAGTTGAACACAGTCAGCGCAGCACACGTTCTGTTTTGTCATGCATGATTTATGCTGTACGACTCGTACATCGTACACCACTACAGTACAAGTACCAAATCGGCCGCAATTTCCGCAATTTTACCAGAATAATCCCGCAATATTTGACAAAATCCGCAATATTCCCCGCAATTTGTGGCATTTTACCTCGCAACTTTTTCCGCGATATTTCCGAAATGTCTCCGCAAGTTTCTGGAGGGACAGATCAACAATAACTAATTCTTGAATTGACCGAAGTGCGTGTAATCGAAAGCGCCCATTGTGTCGTTGGCTCGGTAAGCCAGCTCCGTGCTACATGTAACATCCGACGCATACTACTTGTGGTAGTGCTATTACAGGATTGTGTTGAGTGATGGAAACCTGAGGGCGGGGGTGATTAACCAGGGTGTATGTGTGGGTGGGGGGGGGGGGGATTGCACCCGGGAAAGTACGGTTACCTTGCAGGCCTTGGTGAAGACTGTCCGTGCGCACATGGCTGGGTGTATTGAACTGTGCAAGCCGTCTTACATCAGGAAATGCATGTTAACAGTAAAAATTCATTTGCCTGCGAGAACAGGACATATGGACCTATGGGACGGTGAGAAGGCAATCATGCCGGTGCAATTGGTGAAGGAAAATGAAAGTCAACAGCAGCAACAACAATAACAACATGCCTTGGCTCAGTGGAGCTTCAGACGGTTCTCAACATTTTGTGAAATGCAATAACTGCACTCTTTTCGGCGTTTGGCTTCCCAGATCACTACTTGCTATATTCACGTCTACGTCAAAGCAATTCAAAACAAGTTTGAAGAGCGTTTCAGAGCTTTCAGGGCTTTCAGGGCTTCTGGGAAATCCGCTTGCAAGCAAATTTATCGTTTGTCACCACCACCGGCTTCATGCTACAGTACCGTCCTGCATCTGCCGCTACGGTTTACCGGGTGTTAGCGGCCGTCGTGAGTTCCCTTCGGGAACGGACACGATAATTTTCTTTTTTTCTTTTTTTTACAGTACCGTCAGGTCCCGAAGAACGACCAGGCTAGAATTTCCCCAAGCACAGCATACCAATGTATACAGGGTGACTCAACCGTGCATAGACTGTAATACATGAAAGTAAGAATGATCTAGGCTAGGAGGCTGACCCGCCAGTTCTTCGCCGACCCACAGTACTGTATGCGTAGACTGTATTACATGAAGATAAGATTGGCCTGGCTACGAAGCTGACACCCCCCCCCCCCCCCTCATGCTTTAGAGATGTCTGCTGTCAGTCAGCGATAGACTAACCCTGGTGTGTGTGCTTGTGTGTGTGTGTGTGTGTGTGTGTGTGTGTGTGTGTGTGTGTGTGTGTGTGTGTGTGTGTGTGTGTGTGCGTGCGTGTGTGTGCGTGTGTATGTACGTATGCGTGCGCGTATGCGTGCATGCACGTGTGTGCCATCTGTTTGGTGTATGTGTGTGTACATATGTGTACGTGTGTGTGCGTGTGTGTGTTGTGCTCCGTGTGGCATAGACGGCACTCTAATCGGAACGGCGGTGGCGTGCGCCGTTGGAGGTTTGTTCATCGGTGCCATACTCGTCTACCTGACGGTGAAGAGAGCCGAGGCAAGACGCGCCAATGCGGTCACTGGCTACCCGAACGGCGCAGCAAACATTCAAGAGCGTTCCGAAACACCCGTACCGCCCAACACCAAGTTCAACGGCATGGCAACGGACTACCCGGACGGTAAGGTGCTGCCTGCGGGCGTGCCTGGAGTTGTGGCTCGGCCGCCGAATCTAGACCGTGGCGCTAGCCGCACGACCGAGGTCTCTCACCTGTCGTTGACGCCTTCTGGTGGGCATGGAAGCAATCTATCGCTCAGGACGACTACGCCGATGACACCAATCGCCTCGGTGCCTTCAATGTCGCCGGGTGTGATGAACGCCAACTTAAACAACGGAACGCCAGAGTTCCAGCGCCAGAACAGCCAGGTCTAGGACTGGCTGCGGCTGTGCGTGGGCGTGCCCGCCCAGGGGACGGGCGCAGGGCCGGCCGCGGGGGGGGGATGCAAGCTCCTGCTGCGTCCTGCCCACCCGCCTGCCCTCTGCAATGTGCTGTGTGATTGCAGCAAACTCTGACCTCTCTCTCACATGTAAACACAACGGCTGGCCACACATCAGCAACGGGGGGGGGGGTGTTCTGTACAATTGAATGGGCGATGGATAAACGAGCATGGTGGAGCTCAGTGCATGCCTTGAGTTTGTAGGAGACACACGCTGCGTTGTGCCTGGCTTGAAAATCGTCGCTCAGCAGCTCAGCTGCCAACCCCCCCTTCAAGAACGACTTATAAAATTAATCTCTCTTGTAAACACTTTTTCGGTGTTAGGCTGACTGCCTAGCTTTCTTTTCTCTCTCTCTCTCCTTTTTCTCTTCTTTCTCCTTCTTACCTGACTGTCAAAGCTTGTGACATCTAACGTTTCAATAACTTTCAATAACTCTTCTGAAAAATGCTACCCCGGGGGTTTCGTTTCGCCACGTTCAACGTGCGCGGACTTTGTTCTGCGTCGAAGCAACAGCAACTAGCTCGTGACATGGACGCCTATCGTATTGATTTCTGCGGACTTCAGGAGCTCAAGATGACAACGACCGTCGATAAGCCTCTCGGTGATTCGCATCGGTTTGTCAGCTTCGGTCAAGCAGAGGGCCGGCATGGAGGTAATGGATTTGTCATATCGAACATGCTCAACAAATTTGTATCAACATTCAAAAAAATTTCCGACCGAGTCGGAACTGTCGACCTCTCCATTCCGCAAGGCAAGGGCAATACCTTACCTGTTCGTTTCGTCGTGGCATATGGCCCCACAAACCCAGCAGCGCAGAGTAATCCTGAGGTTCGTGAAAGGTTCTATGATGCCTTGTCCACAGCCTGGAACAAGTGCAGTGGAAGAACACTCGTGATTGGGCTTGGTGATTTTAACAGCAAGGTCGGAGCAGGTGAAGCAGCGTGTGTGGGTCAATATGGCAAAGGTGTAAGAAATGACAATGGTCAAGCGCTGGTAGAGTGGGCTAACATGCATCATCTGGTGTTGGCTAATACGCTCTTCCGCTACTCAATGCGCTATAGAACCACATGGACTGGATGCATGGCATCCCCTGATGGCCTCAGGAAAATGATCCACAACATGATTGACTACATCGTGATCCCAAAGCGCTACAAGCCACTAGTTGTGAGAGCTCGTTCGTATGCTGGAACCGAGACATTCAGCGATCATAAAATAGTCATTGCGGACATGGAACTGACTGGTCTATACCGTGTACACATTGCCGCAGCAGGCAAGGCCGCTGCTCCCATCGCAATCCAGAGACTAGAAAACGCTGACGTCCGTAAGGAATATCAGTCCAGCCTCTGCCAGAAACTGCGTGAACAACCTGCATTTTGTGGGTCATCTGACAGTGGCTCCGTGATCAGTACCTGGGACTCAACAGCGCAAGCGGTCATGGACGTGGCAGAGAGCACTCTTGGACGCATGCACAGAAGCGGTTCACGCAGGGTTTGTGTACCTAATCCAGAGGTTGAAACCCTCTCACGGCGCCAACGGGAAATCAGATTACTTCAGCAATCAGGCCATCACAATCCAGAAGAGCTAAAGAGGGAACGGAACTGCATCATGCACCAGATCAGAAATATTCAGCGCAGCGATGCCATGGAACGCCTGGATAGGATTGCAGAGCGGGTTGAAAAGGCACCTACATCTGCTCAGATGTTTACTGCAGCAGCGCAGCTAAAGAGTGGTAGTGGACAACGATCACCATTGATTGTCGAGCGAGCTGATGGATGTATTCTTGCTCATGCCACAGACAAGGCCAGTCGAGTTCGAGATCACTTCTCCTCACAATTCAGTGCCAAAACAGCAGGTGAAATACCACCGCCATCACCATACTCCCTCGCCACTCCCATCTCCGAATCTGAAGTCGCCACTGCCCTCAAGCGCCTGCGAAACGGGAAGGCCTGTGGTCCAGATAAAATCCCAGCAGAGCTCCTGAAATATGGATCCGAGGTGCTAGCGCCGGTCATAGCAAATTTCGTCAACGCTGCGCTCTCGCAGGGTGCCAATTTATCGACGGCTATTGGACCAGGAATACTCATACCTCTCGCTAAGCCTAACAAGCCCAAGGGTCCTGTAACCAGTCTGCGGCCCATCACTTTATTAAACTCTATCCGCAAAGTGATATCGATCATTGTGCTTCGGCGCATCACGGAATCCGGGGCACTCTCTCGTCATCTTGGTACTACACAGTCCGGCTTCCGCCCGGGCCGTAGTACAGCGGACGTGGTATGGACCCAGCGGTGGATCGCTGCAAGAGCCATTCGTTACCGACAGCAATTTCACATTCTAGGCCTGGACATGTCCAAGGCCTTCGATACGATTAACCGCCTGAAGCTGCTGGAGGTGATGTCTGCAATCACCAATCCAGATTGCACATGTCTCATCCACCACCTACTCCACAACACAACTATCACTGTTAAGGTTGCAAGTGCCACAGCTGAACCGTTTGAGAGCACTATTGGAACACCACAAGGCGACAGTCTCAGCCCAGTTCTCTTCATCTGCTATCTGGAGGCAGCACTACAGGAATGCAGAACTCGTCTCGCGCCCCGCCCTGCTGGCGACGCAAGTCTACCACCAGAGACGGGTTATGCAGATGACATCTCCTATTATTCAACCTGCAGGCTGTGGCTTGAGAATGCTCTGCCTGTAATAGCAGACACACTGCACGATTGGTCATTAAAAGTAAATCCAGATAAAACAGAGTGGATCCGTGTGTCACCTGATTCCGAGAGCTGGCGGACATCTAGGCAGCTTGGCTCCTTGATGGGGGAGGAAGAGGATGTTCGGCGCAGGATGGAACTTGCCTCTCGCGTGTTTGGCCAGCTGTACGCCCTATGGCTGCGTAGAGATAAAGTAGCGGAGAAGACACGCTTACGCCTGTACAACGCTATCGTACTGCCGACATTCCTGTACAATTGCGAGACCTGGGGATTATCGTCAACAGCAATGGCCAAGGCAGACGCATTCCACCGGCGTCAAATGCGATCACTCCTTGGAATACGATACCCAGACACAATTTCAAACGACGACCTATACCGCAGAACCAAGAGCAACCCTATATCAGACACAGTTGCATGTAGGCGACTACGAATGACCGGTCATGTGCTACGGATGGACACGGACACGCCACCGCAAGTAGCCATGAGCGGCTATTTTGACAAGGGCAACAAAGCACCTCGTGGACGGCCAAGGTTGACACTGGCCACAAGTTTGGTTGCTCAGCTGAATAAGCTGGGTGTGCCAATGAAGACCATGGAAGACCTTTCCAGGTGCCGACAGCAAGCAGCAGACAAGACAGACTGGAGGAAACTGTGCAGCTCGACACCCGGCGAGAAATCGGTATCAGCAGCTACTACACCTAGCTGATGATGCTCACAAGACAGAAGCGGAAAAAACACTGAATTTCTTTATTTAGTGCTCTACTACGCGAAATGTGCTATTATTATTATTATTATTGTAAACACCCTGCTGTTCCTGTCTATTTTAAACTCTCCCGCTCCTGGTGGTGCTTGGTCTCTGCAACTTGGAAAACGGAGACCTGCGGAGCGGAGTGTACGGAGTCGAGTCGATATCTTCCGCCTTCTAACTGCTGTATCTGCCTGAATGTCTCGTAACTAGACCCCCCCCCCCTGGATTTCTTTCGCCATGCTTTGATTTCTTGATACTTGGTTTGGTTGTCGATGCACTGGTTCAGCAGCAGCAGCAGCAGCACATGGCGTTGGTGTCTGCTGTTGTGCTGGTGTGCTTGTGTATCTTTGCATTGTGAATGTGTGTTGTCGACAACGACGACGTTCCCGATCGCGCCGGCAATGATATCCGGCGTCGGCGACGGGAGTGTGCTAGAACATTTTTTTCAACGGCACGCAGCCTGCCCCGCTGCACCGCTACTTGATCTACACGCAAGTACATGACTCAAGTCTGGTGAGTATATATGGCAGCCTGCACGCCTGCTTTAATTATACGAGCTATGTCGCTGCGTTGCCATATTTGTAGTTTATTATTCTGTTTTATTTTTTTGCTGTGCTCTTTATGTGTTGGCTTCCGATTGGCTGCGAATTTGAATTTCTGTATTTCTTGACCGCGTTCCGGCATGTAGCGTTGCGCACAATCTTCTTTTGACGGTTGTCGTTATAGTTTTAAATGTGTTACCAATCGGATATCTGTTTCTCTGCACGGCTTTGCTCGTTTCGACTCCAAGTCTCTCGTGTTTGTTCAAAGGTGGACACAAGATCCGCTCAGCTCTTTGTTTGTGTGTGTTTGCCACTGCCAGTAGAGTTTGCACATTAAAATTTTTGGTTTGTTTGCGTGCAGTCGGCTCTAATTGCACGAATAAGTTGACAACCTCCGAGACTGTGTTCTGGTGTCGGTTTTAAAATTATTAGTACTTAGAACTCAGTGCGTGGTTTCAAGCAGGGAGTAAAATACTGGTATTTTACGACTCCCTGGTTTCAAGGCAATCAGTGGGGATGGGGTTGGGCAGTCAGTACACAGGACATGATCAGGAGGAGCATGGTGAGAGCAGGGCAGAGGATCACCGTGGAGCAGGGGATGAGGACCAGGGGATAAGGGGCAAGGGGGCATGTCGACAGTGGAGGAGCCGGGGTTAAGGAGCACGGGATAGGACCAGGGGATACGGGGCATGGGATGAAGGGCATGCCGACAGTGGAGGAGGGGCAGGGGACAAGGGGCATGGGGTGAGGAGCAGGGGATGAGGAAGAGAACAAGGGCGGCGGCGGGATTAGTTATAGCCTGGGAGAGAGAATGATTATACAGGTACAAGAGAAGTACAAGTTCCTGTCCCCTTGGGAAAAACGCGATGCCGGCAATGCTTCCAGCAAAATATCGAAATTTCCCACGAAAAGAAATTGCTGGCAAATTCCGAGCAAAATATCGAATTAACAGAGGATCCGGGTGTGTTTTGGTAATTTTATTCAAATTTCTTTGGTTTCATTGGGCCAACGTCGTGCTGAAATAGCTTGTGCAGGTTGTCAGGGGTACATAAATTTGAAATCATGCTCTGTCCCCGGGGAAAATTGCGATTCCGCGGCCGCGTTTTTTCCCCCTTTTTTTGCGATTTTTTAAGAGACCGCGTTTTCCGCGATTTTCCCGCGTTTTTTGAACTTTTCTGTTGCACTACACGTACACACAGTGCTGTTCGGTCAGCAACGTCTCATCCGGTGGCGGCTTTGTACTCAAATATGACGAGCGCTTACACCAGAGACTTGTAACTGATTGATTTCACTACACTGTACATACGCACTGAAAATTGCCTCATATCAACTGCAAACTTGCCGCCGCGAGATGATATCAATAATATTCACCGCATATTTACCGCATATTTACCGCAAATTCACCGCAAATTCACCGCAAATTATGCCATATTATGCCGCGTTTTTTGCCGCGTTTTTTTGCGATTTTTTCCCGCAATTTTCCCCGGGGACAGCATGCTACAAAATCCGGAATACTGACACCATTTAAAGTTTTGCTTTCACCATCCAATTTTACCAAAGTAGATGGTTCATTCGAAACCATTTTTGCCACAAAGCAGGAGCAAAATGGAGCAAAATATCGGAACGAAAGGCAATGCCAAGAATACGGAAAGTGCCCGGGCAAAAGTTGCCGGCAAAATATCGAAACGCCCCGAGCAAATTTGGGCTAGGCCTAGTCTGCATAGGAGAAGTCACATGGTCTCTGAGTCTGCACTCTGCATAGGAGAAGTCACATGGTCTCTGAGTCCGCATACTATAGCCTAGGAGAAGTCACATGGTCTCTGAGTCTGCATAGGAGAAGTCACGTAGTCATGAGTCAGGTTAGCGGCCGGCCAAGGCATGTCATTCTCAGGGCGAGGCCATAAACGTGTTCTTACGATTCACCACTGATCATGCGCCACGCTTGCAAATTCGGTGAACCAGGGGCGACGTTTGCAGTAGAGCGACCATGTACGTATGTTTGGATAACAAAAAAAGAAGAAAAAATACTGAAATCAGTGCTGAGGTGAGATTGCAATGCACCTGTGACTCAGAGTACAAACACACACACAGCAGGGGATGCAAGTGGCACATGAACACACGACATACTCATCTCCTCCAAAAGTACCTACATACAACACGCGCGCGTGCGCACACAAACACACACACATGCACATACGCAAGTGTGTGCGCACACACCCCTACACACAGACACACAGACAGACAGACACACACACACATACACTCACTCACACACAAACACACTCTCGCACACACTCGCTCACGCATGCAAATTATTATTTCTAGTCGACCAGATAGGCACGCCTGCTTGGCACATGAGCATATCCTACAAGTTACAGCACGTTGCGGCATGCCCTAGACCGATGGTTATTCATCACCCATAGGATTAGACCATTCACCTGGGTAGCCATGGCTACACTTGACTGTCCCCATGGAAACGCTCATCCTCCAAACCATTTGCCACAGGTGGTGTATTTCGCTTCAACGGGCAAGTAGCCACAATAGCCTGGATAGCTCTCCAGTGAGAATGTGTAGAGCAAGTGTCTCGACTGTCGAAAAGGGCAATCTCATCCCCCAAGCCACCGGTGACGGGAGCTGTATTCGGCTCCAGTGAACAAGTGGGTTCAACGTACTCGTTCGTTCTCGTGTGAGATGCAATATTTGCGGAAATGCCTCGACTGCCGGCTTTGGCAAGGTCATTCCGGAAACCGCCGGCCAAGGGTGGTGCGTTTGGCTCCAAAGAGCATGTAGGTTCAACGTACTCACTCATGCTTGCCATGCTCCTGGGAGGGTGATGTGCCGAAATGTCCTCTTCGGCCAGCTCCACAATGCTCTGCCGAGACTCACACTTGTTAGCGGGACTGTGACTCGATGCTGGTCTCAACGTCAGGCCCTGCAGACGCCTATCCGATGTGCAGCTAGATTTTCTGTCGTTGCTGCCGGTAGACTGGTCAGTTTCGTAGCCGGACGCGGTATTAGAAGTGTCCAGAAGTCCCGCTGAACTGCTGCGACCATACGATGCAGTTATGTCCTTGTATTCTGGCTCGCAACCCCTTTCGTCCGTTTCATTGCAGATCGCCGGGTCATTGGAAGCCTGCCACCCATCGATAGCCGTTTGACGGCGACTGTGCATGTAATTGCTAGTGATCCACGCAGGCCAGGAGGTCGTAACGCGCTGCACATGAACACACGCACAACATGCACATGGACAGACGTAACATGTGCATGGACAGACGTAACATGTGCATGGACAGACGTAACATGCACATGGACAGACGTAACATGTGCATGGACAGACACATACACGGACGGCGTGTCAGGAAGGGGAAGTGAAGCTGTGATCTCAGGCCCGTTAACTCATCAAGCCCTTTCTGACTAGAGACGGATGAAGGGGATATTCTCACCGCTATCTGGAGTACAGTGGAGTCGCGAGCTGAAGAACGTGGAGCCCAATAACGTCCAGCCTGAAATACTAAGAATGCCACAGCCTAAAGTTAAGAACGGCGGCGTTGGTTTTCTGGGAGCTTGTGGGATATACATATGATCCAGTACGGATTGTTTCTAATACGGTGTTACAAGAACGCAGCCAGATTGCTGAAGAAAATAAGAACGTCCCAGGCAAGCCCCTTGGAAACAACGTTCTTGGGCGCGCGACTCCACTGTACTGCATGCTCCAACACACGTAGGGTTGTGTGAATCCCTGTCGTTTCCTTTCCCATTTGCCTCACAATCTCTACATGTACGCGTCCACCGTGATTGGCTGGCACTCGCTCTCTTCACATTTGTCAGTGCTCCCACTGTGCATTGAGGCGTTGCAGAAAATGAAAAAATAAATAAATAATTCACTGGTTTGAGGGAAAGATGCAAGCGGGAAAAGTAAATAAATAAAATAATTAGTCAGCCTCTCCCCCCCCCCCCCCCCACCAAACACACACGCACACACACGCACACACACACACACACACACATACACATGCTCACCCCCCCCCCCACACACACACACACGCCCACGCGCACCGGGAGTGCGCTCCACCGTGTTCTCAGCATCCACACTATCCCTAACGGTCGCCGTTGCTGTTCCACCACACTCTCAGCCCTTACCTCGTGGTTTGCCGACTTCGACATGCATGCGCCGTACTTGCTGACTAGATAAGCCACGAGCAAGCCAAGCACAAAACCACCGATACCCGCCACTGCTATGATGACAATTTGTAGATGATGGCTGAAAGCGGATGAGGCTGTGTTGACACCCGGGGCCGCTGACGTTTCCGTTGCACTGGATGCTGTTGCCACGGGAGACGTTGCTATGCTTGAGCCTGCTCGGTTGTTGGGGATTTCAACGCCAGCTGACAGGGGTACTGAGAATGACAGGCAATAAAGTCAGACGTCCAACGGACAGGAACGGGAGACAGAGGATGGCAGAGGGGAAGGGGATGAGGGGAAAGGGGCAGGGACACGACAGGGAGAAATGGGGTAGCAGAGGGTAAGGGGATCATGTGTGTGCGAGGGGCAGGGACAAGGCAGGACATACAGGGTAACAGAGAGGCAGGGACAAGGCAGGACATACGGGGTAACAGAGGGGCAGGGACAAGGCAGGACATACGGGTAACAGAGGGGAAGGGGATCAGGAATGAGGGAAGGAGTAGAGAGAGGGAAGTGCCAGAAGCAGGGAGTGTGTGTGTGTGTGGGGGGGGGGGGAGTATGACGTGTACCAATGGGGGAAAGATGACAAGCAGACAACAAGGACGTAGACAAACACGTTGAGAATGGAGGCGAGAGAGGGTAGACACAGAAGCACAAGCACAACGCAAGATTAGCAGGATTTATTCCCGTAGCTATGCAGAAGACGTTACTTCAGTAACGTCTGGCGCTAGCCAGGGTCCACACAGCTTTAATTTGGTGTTTGTTTGTGTGTTTGTGTGTTTGTGTCACGCCTGGTGCTATCCCGTATCTGTCCCGTACCGTACCGTACCATCAAACACAGCTGGCCAC